ATGTGATCCATTTTTTTCTTTTTCCTCCACCTGGCAATAAGCAAGAAAAAAAAACATTTTAGCAGAGAATTTGTTTTGTAATTAAGAGCAAGAAAGCAGACTATGTTAAAGTAGTATTAAATCTTCTGTGTTATTTAATACATTGAGCACTATAAAATAAAAAAAACATTTTTCCAGTAAACTATTTGTTATTATTCTTATTCAAGCACTTGCAGTTTACAATTTTCAGTGCTGCTGGCTCCTGCTCTCTCAGTGTTTCTTCCCTGAACTTTTAGTCTGCACAGGAAAGAGTTAACAGTGGGCAGCTCAGTCTAGAGTCAGTCTGCTAGCTTGGAAAAGGAGGTGGGGGGGTCGGAACAGGGGGGATTGCCTTGCCATCTAGGCTGTAGGGGCTGTGTGTTTCTACTGATGTGCCCAGAATTTTGGAGAAACAACTCCAGTCCCTGCATGCAATGTTCGTATCCACAGGATACTGCCAGAGAAATGAGTCACCCAAAACAGGCAGCAGTCATGGCAACACTGCAAACTTGAAGTGTATATGAGGGCAACTAACATGTAATGCTTGTTCCAAACAAGGGGAAAAAAAAGAAAGAGGTTCAGGAGCTCACAGAGGATGTTACAAAGGAGGAGAGAAAAACAATATGTTGTGGAGCTTTTTGCTCAAAGGACTGGGAAAGTCAGGACATCTACACGGGTTAGGAAAGACCAAGAAAGCTGAGGTGACTAGCAAATCCACAGAGGAAGCCAGAGGGAGTCCTGTGTTTTTGAGAAGTGGGAAAGTCCAGGGTGCTGGAAGAACCCTATCCAGAGGTCAGAGGCCAGGAGTGCGGCCTATGCAGTGAGTTCCTGCAAACATAGGCTTAGCAAGCCTGAGGTGTTCTTGGTCTGTGAGATCGGTGTGAACAGCAGCGCTGCTGCTGACAGGTGGGCCAGGTAGCTCAGCATTTTCAGTTAACACTGTTTTGTTTAAAGCTGAAACCCCTGCGTGAGAAACTATGTTTTGTTTCAATAAAAGTGAGCTGTCCTTAACCACCTGACCTCCAGAGGATTTACCCCCCCTAATGACAGGCCTCTTTTTGCTACTCGGCACTGCACTAATTCAACTTATCGCACGGTCATGCAATGCTGCACCCAAACGAAATTTACGTCCTTTTTTTCACACAAATAGAGCTTTCTTTCGGTGGTATTTGATCACCTGTGCGCTTTTTATTTTTCACACTATAAACAAAAAAAGGCCAAAAATTTTGAAGAAAAACAATGTTTTTTACTTTCAGCTATAAAAAATATATAGTAAACTCAAAGTTAGTTATAAATTTAGGCCAAAATGTATTCTGCTACATGTTTTTGGTAAAAAAAAAATCCCAATAAGTGTATATTGATTGCTTTTTGTGAACGTTATAGCATCTACAAACTATGGTATAAATACTGCAATTTACGCCATTTTTTTGCTATACAGCGCTGCGCTAGTTTAACGGATAATTGTGCGGTCATGCAATACGGTACATAAATGAAATTTACATCCTTTATTTTCCCACAAATTGAGCTTTTTTTGGTTTTTGATTGCCTGTGCGGTTTTTATTTTTTGCGCTATAAAAAAAAAAGGCTGACAATTTTGAGGAAAAAAAAACAATATTTTGGACTTTTTGCTATAAAACCTGTCCAGTAAAAAAAAATTTAAAAATCATATTTAGTCATAAATTTCTGCTAAAATGCATTCTGCAACATGTCTTTGCTAAAAAAAAACCCAATACGTGTAAATTAATTGGTTTACGTTAAAGTTATAGCGGTTACAAATGGCGGGAAAGATACTGGGATTTTAGTTTTTTTTTTATACTAATAATGGCGGCGATCAGTGACTTATGGCGGTGATCATCGACTTATGCGGCGGACATTCTGACATTGGGGGGTACTGACTTGGGGTCACTGACATCCCCAGTGACACCAATACAGTGATCAGTGCAAAAAAAAAAAAAAAAACTGCCACTGTACTAATGGCACTGGGGAGGAAGGGGTTAACTTTATTTTTCAAGGAAGGGTTATCTGTGTGAGGGGAGTGTTTTACTAGGGGGCGGGGGTGTGTGTGCTGGATGGGGACAGGCTGATCGGGAGAGAGAAACGCTTCTGTCCTGATCAGCTTGTCCTCGAGCTGTCAGGGAAGTGACAGACAGCCCAGAAATCTCAAAGAACTGGAAGACTTTTGTAAGGAAGAATGGGCAAAGATACCTCAAACAAGAATTGAAAGACTCTTGGCAAAGATACTTGCCAAAGGGGGCAGTACAAGATATTAACTCTGCAATGTGCCCATACTTTTGCAGATGCCATTTTTTTGTTTTCTGTTATTTTGAAAGTGTAAATGATGGAAATAAAATCTAACTTTTGTTGACATATTATAAGGATGTCTAATCTGTAATTTGATGCCTTTGGAGATTTTTCCATCTTTCCTTGGATTCCTTATGCACATTAATACAAATTTTTAGCTGGGGTGCCCAAACTTTCGATCCCCACTGTATATATACACACGCACGCGCACACGCACACACCTATACATACATACATACATACACACACACTCTCTCGCTCTCTCTCTGAACTACAAAGAGAAGAGGGCAAACTGTTGGTGCTCACTTAGCCGGTGCCTCTGTGACTGAAGTTGCCAATTTATTTGCCGTGTCGCGAGGTACCATATTAAAAGATTATGATGGCATATACAGTTTCCAGGAAACCGTCGTCTGATAAGCATAAGCACGGTCAACATGGTCAACTGACCCAGAGACATTGCGCAGGATTGTGACCCGAAATAATAAAGCAACTTCTGCAAAACTGATTGCAGAGCTCAATCTCAGACTTAACGGGACTGACGGTGCATCTACCGAACAACTTCTGTACAGCCAGCCTGTCAGATAAGTGCTGATCATTGTATTCTGACATTGTATTCCCTGCTATCAGAACACAATAGCTCAGCAGGAGTGATTCCCTCATTCACCTTGAATGTGATAATGGGGAAAGCAGTGAAAAAAACAAAACAAAAAAAAACAATCATCTATGGGCTGCTTAAGCCCTGGTTCACACCTATGCATATTTTGGTAGTTTTTGAAGGAACACACTACAGTCTATTTAACATGGTTTCCTATCATCACACGTTCACATCTATGCTTTTTTTCAGCCGCTACTTTTTGGAAAGGGTCAAGGACTTTTTTAAACTTAAAAACTGTACTTTTTTGGTTCAACAGACTTCAATAGAGATGCTGCAGAAAATGCATAAGTGCGTTTTTTATGCTTTTTTGCATTTTTTAATCTGCCCGACAAAAAAAAAAACAATAAAAACCATAAAAACACATCATAAAACATGTGAAAAGCGCTTCAAGAATGCGTGTGTAAAAAACACACCACAAAAAAACTGCATAAACAGATCAACAGCAAACTGCATAGGTGTGAACCAGGCCTAAGACTTTGTGGCTTTATGGGCTTCAAATGACCCAAAACTGGAAACAAAACTTGTAGAAGCAAGAGGTTGATCTTTTAGTATCACTGCATCAATGAAAGCCAAAATGGTCTCATCACTTCCGAGTAATAGCAGTAGACTGTAGCTTCATCAGATAAAGACTGGAGCAACTCAGAATTAGACAGCAGCTGAGGGCTCAGAAGCTCATTTTGGCCATTAAGTCTTGCATGACTGTAGTAAAAAAACCTCAGCCAAAAGGGCAAAGGAACTGGCCATATCAGCATAGCATAAAAGAAGACTAGTGACAAATTATACTCGAGTAGCAGTAAGTACCAGGATTTCAGGCTGTAGATGTCAGCACCATTAGGAGGCATGTTGTAAGCACACAGTGATTAGTAGAGCATGAGCTTTGTAAACTTATTACAGCTGGGCTGTCCACTGTGTTTAGAATCAGACATATTGCAAATGTGTGGCAATAAGGCGACTTATGGCTCAGGGTACGAGGCAAGGCCTTAGGTCCTTTTAAAGCCCAGACAGCTGGGAGCAGGTGTGGGTCAGAAGGCTGGAGGTGACCCTAGTCACCAAAGGCTGGCAGCAGTAATGGACTGAAGATCAAAGTTGCATGTGGCTCTTTCCCCAATGTTTTATGCCAGGAAAAAGTACTTTGTGTGCACGCAAAACTCCAGCAAGCAGATGATATAACTCCTTAGTGGAGACCAGCAGGAAATAGGGAATTTTCCAAGACGCTCAGGGACCTATGTACTTGAGGCAGCTCCCAATGCTTGACCTGACCAGCTTACTCACAAAGTGAGTCTTAAGCCATAGGCCAAGTACACTGGACCTGGAAAGCACTTTATGGCCAACATGGAACAGGGTGTACAGCATATGTGCAAGGTACATAGTTGAGGTTTTTTTTTTTTTTTTTTTTAGTACTTCAAAGCACACAACTGTTTAAACTATTCTAAATATATTAGACATCTTGACCAAATAAAGATTTTGTGAACTGAAAGATGCGTCATGAAAAACACTATAGCAGGCTGTCAAAATGACATTCCCACATTGCTATGTACTACACAACAGAAACAGCTGTCAAATGCAGATGATCCTGTATGAAATTACACTTACAGAAAGTTTGCAAATGTTATAGCGTAAAAACAATGCAATAATATACTGTTTTATTCTATGTGCCATTTAATTCATACGTAGATCAAAAATGTGATTTTTGATCTGAATAGGAAACCAGGTAAAAGAAACCTTATACTTGCTTTTAAATAAAATGCATTTAGCTCCTTATTAACCCTTTGGTAACTCCATTCAGCCCTAATCTACTCCTTAACTATTTTCCTGCTACTTTTTTGTCTGTATTTTCTAACCATTAATATTAATTATATATATATATATATATATATATATATATATATATATAAAATTTTCTTTTAATTTTTATTAATTTTATTACTTAAGTTTCACAAAAGAAAATGTGCCAAAATTAAAAAAATGTATGCAATAACTCTTGCCATGCTTTGGACCAGAAACATAATCTTAGCATAATTTTAAG